CTTACCAGAGGTTATTCTCGTTTTGTTTTTCAGGACAATAATCGATACCATGAAGACATTTTTGGAGCAAAGTATTCTTCGCTTGATAGCTCCAACCCAGGATATACTTCAGGAACAAAGTGATCAATGAAAAAAATGCAGTCACAACTATTACCTGTGGTGAATTTAATGGATGAAGCCTGACTGACTGGGTTAGCTGTTGGAAACAAAATTGGTAACGTTTGCTTTGTGATGTTTGTGTTTTATGTCTGATTGGCAGTGTAACCAGGCTGCATTGTTACTATCTAGTGTACAATTGTTTGGCATGCGAATTCATATTGTTACGTTGTGCTCGCACAATATTGTGTTAGAAAAGTAATGCCACGGCCTGCATGGCATTAATGATTACGAACGACAATAAACACGCCCTTCTGTCTCCTTGCCTAGTGCTGTGTGTTTGCTTTTAGCTGGCTTCGTTGTAGATTCCTCAAGGTGACTTGGACATTTGTTAAGCACAGACAACATGTGCAGACTCCCGGTTGATCCGGGGCAGGTGTAAATGAATGAACGTCAACATCCCTGAATTTATTCCACTCGTCTATGTAAATAAACTTCACCCTCCTAGTGGGTGATGTCTCAGGCATGGCTTGTCTGCTGACTAACAAGTTTTTGAACAAAAGTCACCTTTATATTACTCGTTAAATGTCTGAGATTTAAATCTTAGCAGTATTTAAATAGATTAATGTGCATGCCTTTGTATATCCACTGTTGGAGGAATGCCTTATGATTCCATCTAACTCTAAAATATTCCTATTATCTTTCAAATGACTGTTATTGCATTTCACTCTTTGATATACATCGCTACGACCATCTGCTGCTGACTGAAGAAGTTGTTTAAAAATAAATAATTTGAAAAATGTTAATTTAATAATATAAAATATCCTAATATATAAACACCCAGGTCTGTGATTCTGTCATTCTGTCATTCTGTGACTAACGCGGCACGGATTGGTTGAAGTGCGTCACGTGACCGGGACCAAGCAGCCAACCAACGCTCGGCGGGGCTATAGAGGGTCGGGTGAAAGTCCGCATCGAACCAAACCCCCAGCAAGGCCATCTACTTAACGACGAGAGGAAATTCACACGAAATGTCGTTTTCAATTCAGTATTCCAGATGTAAAATGATATAAGCTTTTAATGAAGAAATAAAATTATATAATTCTAAACATAATACAATTCAAAATATGTTTCATTTTAAAACTTCAAAACGGAGCATCGGGTGCTTGCATGAATGTGTCGTGCAATTTTTTTCGTGACATTCCTGGCCGATGGCCGTAAATGATTGTTCGGGGGCGCTACGGGCGCCCCCGAACAACCCATAGTTTTCTAATATTGTCAGCAAGTGCATCTCCCCCTTCTAAATTGCAAGGCAAAATGGACTACTGAGTATATAGAGTATCTCTTTTAGTTTATATTTCAGAATAAGATTAAGTATTTTCCATCCAGTCCGAAGTTTGCCTATTTATGACAAAAAAGTTAAATATTTTACATCGAAAGATGGACTTTCTGTTTGTTCATTAATAATTGATTATCCATGATCCTCCACAAAAGCACTCAAAAATGATTCGTTCCAGGTGTTAGATCACTGACATTAAGCTCTGGCAAGAAAGAAACGAGATTATTAACCATTGCTCTGCAAGTCTAAAACTTTTCAGTTGTAATTTAACTTCGGACAACGTCAATGTCAAATTCCTGCAAACAACGTAACAGGGTGTTTAATGGCCAGTTTACATTCGAAGGTTCGGCACCTGTGGATAGTTATTTCCCCTGGTCAAAACACTGCTTGGCTGTACAATTTAAGCACTCAACACCGCGTTATGTGCGATTCATTGGGGGGGGGGGGGGGGGGGGGGCATGGTTGCAAAGAAGGTGCTCACAAAAGACAAGTGAAATTTTGTTATCGCTGCTGTTATCATATGTCCGTCATCTTCGTGCGGAAGGCTGACAACCTCCTTGTGCCGTTCATGCCTCGTGATTGCCATTCTTTTAATTCCTCAAAATAATTATCCATGTAGGTCCATTATATATCACATAATCGGCATCCTATATATTTAAAATAATAAGATATCCTTTACTGGCTTACTGCATTGGCTACGTACGGTGCGAAAGAAGTTCAACATTCATACTCTCCCCTTGAAATACTTGCCACAAGATATTTGGTACCTCTTTTCCATTCAAAATATATTTTCACGTCATAATCATTATCATCATGTCATACTTTTACAGGACAACCACATGGCCACGAGAGAAAGTGTTCTTTGGCTGATTATTCTGAGCGAGATTGTATTGTATTCACCTCTTCGCCGTAATCCGTGAAGAGTAGTATGAAATGTTCAGATTTCAATCTGTGCACAGTTCAAAACGAGGTCTCCATGCTGTTGAATTGTATAAAACTCGGCATTTAAAACGTCACAACAAACCTCACGGCGCTTCTTCAGCCACGCTTCATCGAAGCTTTAAAATTAATAACTAAAACGACTTACAAAGCTGTGTCAATCCTCTGCTGGATGAAAGTCTCCATGTTGCAGCAAATATGACGGTCATTTGGGAAAAAAAATGTTGTAATGTGAACTATTTCCCATTTGTTTAATCAGAATGATTTCATTTATAGAAGCCAAATGCGTCATTAACATATCGGCACATATTACAGCACCGTCCCTAACCCCAGTAAAGTTTTATTGTTTATTTGTCTCTGTTTATTGGGCAGTTCCTCTCTTTCATGGCGATACGTTAAACGTGCATACAATGATCATCGCTACAAAGATACACAATGGGAAAGCACGCGTTCTGGAAAGTTCTTTCGTCACTGTGTTGTGTTTGTCTAAGTCCCGAATTTATTGACGGGGTTTGATTTCTTGCATGCAATCGGAAGCACTGTTGCACCATACCAGAGGGGGGTTGAGTGACTTTACTGAACAGAGCACTAAGGCTGGCACTGCCGACATCCTGTCTTTGAATCTGGACAGACCTCCTGTGATCAAACCAGATTCTCAAGTGTTGTCGTTAGTAGTAGATGGTCTGTTTGAATGGCGCCTCTGTGTTCGCGATGGGTTACCTACATGTTTCACTCGTGTGCTCCTGCAGAGGTCGCTAGCCCAGCATGTGCATGTTTCCCTCGCGCAACGCGGGTTCGGTTTGTGGGATTTCGCGCTGTATATGCGCGTAACATATTTTTTTTTACCCAAAAGTCGCTACGTTATGCGGTTTGATTTCGCTATGCATGCGGCTATGCGATCAGACGTGGGACAACGTTGTGTGTGACTGTGTGTATAACCTGGCGACCCGGGTTCGATTCCCGCTCACGGCCATCACCAGTGACGATTATCTTAACTCCGTCCCGGGCCTCCCCTAGGTCGACTCAGCCTAAAATGAGTGCCTGGTTCGGTGTGTAAACATTGCTACTAGGGAGACAAAGGCGGTCGGGCGTGGTTGTGGCCACCCACCCCCTCGTGTGCCGTGCCGGCCATCATCGGTGCCCGTTAACAGCACGTGCCCCTACAGTCTATTAAGACTATACAGGGGATCTTTGTCCTGTTTTTAAGTTCGCTACTCGGCAGGCAGCTGTCTCTTCGTGATGATTTGCTTTGAGTGCCCTTTTCTTTGAACACATCTACTACTACTACTATCGCATAAAGCGAGGGAAACCTTATTGCAACACAAATACATGTCTAGTGATGTTGCTTGGTACTCTTCATTCGGTTGTGATAAATGTTTAAATATCTTACTATTTCATTATCACATCTCCACCCCCCCCCCCACCTTTTGCCTCCCATTACAATCGTCTGAAAGGTTAAATTTAACCCAATTAACTACAATATAATAGTCGCAAAAAACGTGCTCAATGATTGGATAGGTTTCAGGTGCATAAAGAATATTACTTGTGATACGACATTGAAGATAATTTAATATACATCTGCAGAATGTGTGGTTAATTATTCGCTTAATCGAAACTTATACTCTTTGTTTTTTTTCGGTAAAGTCACGTAGGTAAAATAAAATAAAAGAAAACAACTAAATTAAATCACGACGTTTCGGAGGCAACACAAGCTTCTGTCTTCAGGTGGAATAGTCACAGCAGAATATCTGTGACACAGATATCTGTGATAGAAGTTTGTGTTGCCTCCAATCAGCCGCCGTCTATAAACCACTCTTGGATCAAAGTCTACGCAGGACATCACCATCCGTCCCCGTCTCGTTTCTGTGTTCTCCCCGTGTTCTGCATCCATTTCCTCTGGGCTCTGCGGTTTCCTCCCATAGCTAAACAAACATAAAAACCCTTGCAATGTAACCGGTATTGGTAAAACAAAAATCAAAGTGCTGAAAAATTGCCTGCACATTACTCAGTTGGGATTACTGTATACATAGCAACATCGCCCGGTACTGCAAAAAAACATTACAGGACCCTCCTGAGACTCGGTGAGGCTTTGCTGGGTAAAAAAGCGGAATCACAATAAACAATACTAATAACAACAACTCCATCATTCGTCTCGGCTAAAGGCCTTCATCCCTTCTGGTCACAAGTCCTGCCCGAGCTGTGATTACTAAAAAAAATTGGTATCCAGTAATACTTTTTTTAATGTACAAGGATGGCAGGTTACCCGCAATGGCATGCGTTGCTTTGCAGCACGGGTTGACGAAGCGTTGTTGCGCGTCTTTGATTCGCGTAGCCAGCTCATCACAAAGAGAGACAAAGTGGAGAGAAGCACTGACTTTAGTTGACTGGCCGAGTGAGAGTGAAACAAAGGTCTGCTTTCGTCCACCCCACGTTTGTCCAAACTCCTGCTCTCCTGTATATCTCCAACAGCACTTTTGTAACAGTCATAGGGTGAAATGCAAGTTCAGTTTTGTCCACGAAATGCCACAGTGCAGGTACACGTAGAGTCCATTGTCACTCCACTGCTGGATGAAGGCATGTTCCATGCCATGTCAGTCATATGGGGGCTGTTTGTCTGTACTTCATCATGCCGGTCAGTATGAGTTGGTGAAACTAGGGAGCATAGAGTTGGGAGCAATGAGTTGAGACACAATACCATCTGTTCCCCGCAGCCTATAACACATGTTATGCACGTTCGGTTGCCCATCCAAGCACTATCCAGGCTCGAGTTTGCTTTGCTTCTAAGGTCTAAAGACAGCAGGCACATATAACCGGGTGATTTGATCCTCGTGAAATTCCTACCACCGCATACTCTTCACTGTTATATACCCATGTTGTGTAGTTAACTGTAATTTTAAAACAAGAAAAGTATTAACATGAACTTGTTTGTGTAGTCTATATAAAAAAGAGATATATGTTTATGTTCTGGTATATGGCTATGTTATAATAAAACAAAACGCGTAATTAAAGTTGTGTTAAACATGTGTTTTATTTTAATGGTAACTTGTGCTGTGAACCAACTTGTGACGTGACATTACACCGTTTTAATTTTATTTTATGGTGAGAGATGACGCTTGTAAGATGCCACAAATTTGTCTCAATGACGCACGAGATAACATTGGGCACATTAAATGATTGGTCTTTGCATAGCGGAATTTTTTTGCTACGTTTAATTTTGCTTGTTTGTTGGTTATATATATTTTTAAAATTTCCAGTCTTATCTAATCACAAGTAAGCGGTTACAACGTTGTTCTTTTGCAATCTACTTTTGTATTATCCTGATCACTGTTTGCTTAGAATAAAATTTCGCCTCCTTTGCTCCCAGCAACAGCAAATCAATCTAAGCACCGTTGTAAAGTTAGGCGCTCCTCTTCTTTTTGAGAGCCTAGTTGTCCATATTTGGCAAGAAAAAAATATTTATTGAAATGCTATACTTAATAGTCTGCCTATAAAATGTGTGAAGGGTACAATTTTTTTATGTTCTAATGAACAAATATCCAGAAAACTATAAAAAATACATTTACCTCGAAACATAATTGCGCCTATATGCCAGTTATGCCTTCTAGACATAATACGTTTATACTGTTTAGAAAATATTATGAATACGTACGAGTGGTGGCAATGTCCATCGACACAAATTTCTCACGGCCATACCCCAACACAGTCCGAGATAATGCAAGCATCGCGTTTGACATTGAAGGCCAATTGGTTGTTGGATTTGAATTTTGACTTAAAACTTTTGTGACTGCAGGAATTCATATTCTTTGGTGCTTTCGGTAAAGTCATGTGGATAGAAAAATAAAAATATATATAAATAAAAAAAACTCACGAAGCTTCGATCGCAACACAAGCGGTCGTCATCAGGCGGAGATAAATTTTAATTTCAGTTTTTTATATTAAAAAAAAAAATTCTATCTACGTGACTTTTTCCGAAAGAACCAAAGAATATGGTTGTTGGATTTGTCTGGGACAGGACAATCAGTGATTCATTGGAAATGTCTGATGCAACGTTGATCCCCGTAGCATCAATCCGTGCGTGGGTCAAGTTTGCCAACCGAGAAGAACTAAATGCACGTGAAGAACAAGAGGTTTCATGGTCGCGAAAGCCTACGTGTTAAACTCAAATCAGGTTTGTTAACGTATTGAAGGGGTTCAAATGCTTACGATGTGTATACGGAAAAAAAAACAAATTCAACAGCATTGTTGCCATGGTGAAATTGAGAGAAGATGATCATCATAATAATAATGTCGAGCTGTATATGTATACCACGACAGTTTATTATGGGAAAGCGTGATTTAAATTTGAATTCATATTCACGTAAGTACTCGTGAAGCTGAAGTTGATGTTTTCCTTGATGAGCAACAAACGGTTTTTCTTGTATGTGACACTCCTCATTGTTCTCACATTCATTGTTCTCACATTCATTGTTCCCACATTCATTGTTCCCACATTGTTCCTACAATGAATTCTGTTTCTCACCGCTCCGACGTAGAGGCATCGTTGGAGTTGCTGAAGCAATGTTGGCCGATATTCAGCAGCCTGCGATAAAAAAAAACTCTTCCTTGCGATGGGGCGCCCAACGTAAAGTGTTTTGAACAATAAAAAGATAACATCAGTCGGTATAGAACAGGAAGGTGACTGGGGTGTGACGTCTTCTTCAAACCGTGCAGGTGATTATGTAAAAAAAAGAACGGTGTGTGGAATTTCCAGCCATATTTAGGACATTTGTATATAAAGCAGCAGCCTCAATCTTCAAATGACAGATTTTAGGAGAGCCAAGGTGCATTGACGAAAACCTGAAGTCATCTCTACCACGGGCCTTCTTTAAAAAATGCAGGTGTGTTCTTGTGATTTGATCCTAATTATGTTTAAATGTTTTGCTTGCTTTAATCCTGGCGGTTTTGATCGCTTACGTGACTATATCGGTAACGTTTCGACGAGGTAATTGTTTCGTAGCACGGTGCGGTTGGATGTGTGAGTTTGGATGCGGTGAAATTAGTGGCGTTTGTACATTGCTATTTAAATAACGCCGTTCGCTCCACGGACAAATTTAAATTGGCGGTTTTCAATGGCATCGCCACGTGCGTTCATCCACCTGGCAAATGGCAGAAAAAGTATATATCTGGTGGACCGCATTTGCATTCCTACTTTTATCGGATGGTTACATTACATCTTTTTCAGAGTTAATAGATTCAAATATGTTATGTTGATCGTTGTCACACATACACACACCTGTGCTTCAAAATTCTCAAATAAGTAACCAGCTGTGCAATTCTAGGCGAGCTAAATTCCACTGCCTAGCACACGCGCGCCATGCAGCACGTTGTGGCTGTCAAGCTGCCAATGCCACTTTTTATGGAGCGCGCGGTCAATTGTGCAGTGCACTTGAGATAGCGGCGGTGTCTACCCTTGGGCGTGTTGCGCAGCACTTGGCACTGGCTTGCACGGTACTGGCAGCGCTGCTGGTGGCGGTGGCGGCGGTGGCCAGCTCGGGCGTTCCGATGGCACCGGTCCTCCCCGCGGCCAGAGGCGAGCACCGAGCCGCCAGCGGCCTGCTATCGAGGATCCAGCGCTCCGTGAGGAGGCTCGCCAGGGACTCGGAAGAGTGCAACGACTCGGAAGCCCTGAGCGACCGGAGCATCTCCCCGTGGGATCACAGGTGAGCGCTCAGGCACGCGCAAGCCGTGTGGCTCGCTGCAATCGGCGGTGGCTTTGGCAGACGATGTCGATTGCGCCGCTTGTGCCTCGCCTCGCGCGGGTTTGTTCTGCGCGGCTCTCCGCTGCGTTCGCGCGTTGTGCCACGCGTTGTGCCACGCGTTGTCTGGCGCGCACTTCCTAACGAGGCTCCGAGCGCGTCGAGCGAAGCGTTGGGCATCGTGCTGAGCAACACGCGGTCACGACCCGTGAGCACGCGGGTGGAGAGCATACAATGAGACGTGTCCAACCAGCCAAAGGAAGCAGCTCAGTGCAAGCATCGATGCAAGCCAAAGTGGATGTTTGTTAAATCCCATGCAGCTGTGCCAAGTAATGTTCAGCGGAGGCAATGCATCCATAATAGAGGGTTTTTTTGGGTTAGATCGCGTACATATATAAATGCGTCGTTAAAACCCGCCACCACCCGACACAGCCAACTAATTAGGGTTGTCACGTAAACGGAGGCAATGCAGTTGGTGGGTCGTATGGATTCGTTTGACGGCACGTTACGCGCGCCACCGCATGCTGATGACAGAAAATCCTTTTGGAATTCACCCGTTGTCCACAATGAGAATACTCCTCTTATCCGTCCCCTGTTACTTGCGATATCGCGGTTTGTCGGATTAGTGCATTCACTCAACTCCTCTCGTCTGCTGTGGTTACCCAATCGATATTCAACCTGTTATCAGTGCTTTTGTTTAATCACGGATGAGAGGAGCGGTGTAATGCATTGATCCCGTTATTCATGATACCATAATGGGCCCAGATAAGAGGATATTTTTTTATATATATCAGAGAAAATTAGATGAAAACCCTGCTTGTTCGCAACTTGGGTTCCTTCAATATCGTGATGGATGAAAGGAGCTCTGCTGTTACGAGACACACTTATTCAGCCATCTGATTGAATTGTTTCCCACCTCATTGCTCCTTCGTCACGAGCCATACCGAGTCGCCGCTGCAGGTATCATGCAAATTAATACAAACGTAAGGTTAAGGGCTGTAAAGTGCAACGTCCCACCTTTGCGCGGCTGATAAAAGCGCGGATTGGTATGTGCACTTTGCCTCTCGAGTCGCAAAGGACTTGTTTTACTGTGCATGCAAATTCAATGGAACAATAATGGTGATGACGGCATTATTCTTGAAGCGAAACCAAAGCGGTCGTTCCACTGCTACTGCCGACGTATATTGTGAATGGAATAAAACGGAAACGGCGAGTGAGCTTTTATTATGACTATTAGTCAGATGCGCTTTTGCGGCCGTCTGGAACGTTCTCCCTCCCGATATTAGGAAGCCACTGAAGCTATGCACTTTCAAATTTCGATTGAAAACTCGTTTAATTTACAACTACTTTTTGTGTTTAGATTGTTGTCCTTCCACCACACCTCCTATTAGCACGGTTGGCTACGTGCGGTGCATAATGAGTTCAACATACATATATATTTCTTCACTTTCTTTGAGAGTTATGGGTTTTTTTAAGGCAGCACTGTAAATAGCTATGTGTGAGAATACAAGATGATCTGAAATTCATTATCTTCATAAAACTACTTTCAAACACACCATCATCAAGTACCAGAGTACATATTAAGTGGGGAGTCAGTAAAGGTGACACACATCTACAGAAGTTATTAACTGTGACATTGGAATTTATTTTCGGAACATTGGAGAAAAAGGGGTAAATATGAATGCAGAAAACTTAACCATCGCGTACTTTGCGGTTATTGTGCACATACATATGTAATGAAAATTACTTTAAAAATAATTCAACATGATGCCACCGCGAACCTCACCAGGCCAAGCGGATTAAGAAGCGAACGAACTTTCAAAATGTATTCTATGGTTCTTTCGGTAAAAGCACGTAGATAGAAAAAATAATAACACTTGTGTTGCGATCGAAACGTCGTGATATTATGATTCACTTTATTCGTATTTTTTTATTTGATTGTTATTATTTTTTCTATCTACTTGACTTTACCGAAAGAACCATAGAATATGAATTCCTGCAGTCACGAAAGTTTTTAGTCAAAAGTTCAAAATGTAGTTTCACTCTAACAGTACAGTAATCGGAGTCACTTGGTGTCTCCCATAAGATTATAAAACTCACCCCAGAGCCGAGCTCATTCGAAGGCAGGAGTGGTGTGGATGGGAATCACGTGAGGGTGCACATGAAAAGGGATGTTTATGGGATCAGTCAGGGATGGACCGTGCATACCTGTGGCCAGTTGCATAAGACACCTTCACGTGAATTGTTTTCCCCCTAGATGTAAATTATACTCTTTGGGGGAAGATTTCATTTGAGGTGTTTTACCTAACCAGTCCCTGGTCCAAAGCGTCCATGATTATGAAACTCAAGAAGAGGTGGGCACTCCCACCTCCTCCAGGACACATGGCCTGCACGGAAGAGTAGGGCACTTTCACCACCACCACCAACACCAGCAGCAGCAGCCACAGCAGCAGCAGCCACAGCAGTAGCAGCCAAAGCAGTAGCAGCTACAGCAGCAGCAGCAGCTACTACAGCAGCAGCAGCAGACGTGAGCAAGATACCCGCAGCTCTCAGTCACGTGAACCCTCTTCGACCCCTGTTGGCGTCTTGCAGAGTGGACCACGACCCCGAGCGGTACCCCGCGACCCTGCACGAGGCCGTGTGCCGCGTCGACGGCTGCGCGACGGCGGCGGCGGCGGCGCGCGGGGCACGAGCGGGGCACGTCCGGCGACTCCGCAGCGTTCCCGTCACCCAGGCCGTGGCGGTGCTGCGCAGGAGACTCGGCCCTCGGGGCGAGACCGTGCTGGTGCCCGACACGCACAACATCGCCGTGGCGTGCGTGTGCGTGCGCGACCACACCTGCTGATGTCGTTGTCGACATCTGCGTCATTATACGTGTGTGTGTGTGTGTCTCTCTCTCTCTGTCCCTCGTTCTCCCTGTGCCCAATCTCGTTTCGGGTCGTCCTCTCTCATTGCACCGCCTCCACTGAAATCAACTTCCTCTGTACGCTAAGCAGTGCCCCTCCTTAGCCTTCTTCTGTGCCTCCCTTGAAGCCTCATTTCTTCTCCGTTGCCCATTCTCTTGCTCTTCCCTCCCCTCGCCCCTCCACTTCTTCCCGTCCCTCCCCTACCGTTTACTAACAAACGACGTACCCCTCCCATCTAAATGAATGTAGCTTATACCGTTTTAAAATTATATTAAGTGCCTTGAAAAAAAGGCACTCTTTGAATACAAAATAAGACAGGATCGTCACCAGGTGACTACTTTAACACTGAATCATTTGTTAAAAAATTAACTCAAACTGCTTTTTTTTGCGTTGATCAGGGTCCCACGGTTTAGAGCAGTGGTTCTTCTTCACCTGGGGTGGACGCAGCCCCTGGGGTTGCGAGAGGCCCTTCCTGAGGGTGCGACACATGGCCATATTTTGTTTAGAAGGTAAATAATAAAAAAACACAAATCTAGCACGGACACGTGAGTGCAACTACTTTGTTTCATCAAACCTATGTATGGGATGGGAAACAATTCAATCATTAACATTATACTTTTTTTTACGACTGACAACCAAAGGGGTGGAAAGGCTGCAGTTGAGGTTAAGAATCACTGGTTTAGACGGACGGAGTGCTCTAGCCAATAATATCTGTTGCTAATCCAATAATATTTGTTGACTGCTGATGAGACCCAGAAATATTGAAACCGGCCTATGGGTTGTTTGCTTAAACAATTGCAACTTGGGAAATATTTTTTCTCCAAAGCCAATCAGTTAATGGGACGGAAAAAAAACTGTGTGTGTATATGTAGAGACAGAACGGAGTCCTCATTATATATGATTATTTTACAGATGACTGATGGGCTGGAGTAGGCACATGACTGTTAGCCACAGTCACAACAAGAGGCGCCCTTGAATGTAGTGTGCCGGGTACTTTATCGATGACCCAGACAAACCTGACTGGTGATTCTCATGGTCGCCATTATCATCGTCGTCGTCATAATCATCACCATTGTCATGAACTCATTGTATATCATATTTAATCACCCAGGAATGTCTGTCCTTAACGCTCGTGACGTCACTCCGCATCGACAAGCCCCCCTCATTAATATTCATGAGCAGGTGACGTCTTCCAAATGGACACCCCCCCCCCACCCCTCCTCATTAATAATCATGAGTAGGTGATATCACTCAATATGGAGTACTCCCCCCCCCCCTCACTAAAAATCATGTGCAAGTTACGTCACTCCACATCGAACAGCCCCCCCCCATTAATAATCATGAGCAGGTGACGTACTCTTTGTTTTCTTCGGTAAAGTCACGTAGGTAAAAACAAAACAAAAAATGAAAACTAAATTAAATCACGACGTTTCGGGCGCAACACAAGCGTCCTTCTTCAGGTGGGGACAACGGAGCGAAAGCACAAACGCCGCTTAAGTGTGTCTCAGAGATGGCTGTGACGAGGGATTATATAGTAGTCGCGGGGCATGGAGGGAGGGAGGGGGGGCCATGGTGAGTGTGGGAGCGGGTTGTGGGCTGGGAGGAGAAGTTGCAAAACCGAGGGTGCGCTGGGAGGCAACTGGTGGTGCCGAGACTGAGGCTTTGTGATGTAGATGGCGGACGTCAATAAGCAAGCGAGGATTAAGCCGCCTTTTGTTATGCTGCCTGGTGGGAAAGTTAGAAAATGCGCAGGCTAACAACGTATGGAGTTCAAACTGAAATGTGCAAGCTAAAAAACAACTTGTGGTACACACTACCAGTTTTACACACTACCATGGCGATGGTAGTGTGTAAAACTGGGGGTAACAGACTGGGAATATGGGTATGTTTATGAAAATTAATCAAAACTGGCTGTCTAGCAGTAAACTGCCCGGTAGCTAAAGTTTGACTTGGTTAATTACATCTTTCCAATGATTGCTCAATTTGAATCCATCATCTCGGTTGAAGTTATGTCTTGGTATCGGAGAACACAATGTCATGAGAGCCAGCAGCATTGTAACAGTGGTCGGCCACGGCCGAAGAATCTGTCCTGCCATGTTTAGTTTTCATTTTTTATTTTTTACCTGCGTAACTTTTACCGAAAAAAACTAAGAGTATGAATCCTTGCAGTCACGAAAGATTCAAATCTAGAAGCAGGTGACGTCCTCACGTCACGCGATCTCCGTAACGCTGTTGGGACATCAAAGTAAAAAGGACGTCGTGATGAATAAGGGATTATTAAAGGAAATAGGTCTGCGTCACCGCGCCCTTACAAACTGCACATGCATTGATGCAATGAATATATCACATCGCGGTCTGCTTTTCGCTTGCAAGTTTCAGATTTACTGCAATACACCCGTCCTTGGACGGGCAAAAGGCGAGTTGTATTATATATTGCCTTCTGACAGCTTACAATTGCTTTTTTTGGGGGGCTAAAAATTGCAGTTTGTCAATATCACAATGATGGTAGTTCTACAGCAAGTATCGGTTATTTTTTCTAAGCTATGATCTCAATGAATGGGTAGATTTGCAGCCGAAGCGATTTACTGAATAACGCAATGTGAAAATATGTTCACGATTTGCATTGCCATTAAACATATGCAGTTTAAATTTTGATTTAAAGCTTTCGTGACTGCAGGGATTCATATTCTTGGTTCTTTCGGTAACGTCGTGAGAATTTTATTGTTTTATATTTTTATTATTTTATTGTTTCCCTTCTACGTGACTTTACCGAAAGAACCAAGAATACATATGCAGTTTGTTGTTGTCGCAAATGTGCGTTGAAATAAAGATTGTTTTGTTAGTAAATTAAAAGTAACATTTTGTAGGACATATGTAGATAGCATGTAAAACTGTAGTAATGTTATTAACTGGTTTACCTTCATGATGATCAGTTTGGTAATAGGTATTACATACAATTGCACAAACTGCTGATGATAATTATATATTTAAACGTATTGTATTTATTTTAATGTTTAGTCAGTGTAAGTGAATGGTATGTCTGTTGAATTTCTTTTGCACCGTACGTAGCCAATCGGGCTGATCAAAGGTGCGGGGGATTGCTGTCAACGTTTGCTGTTTTAATGCAAAACTACCGCAAACTACTATTTTTCACCATGAAGAATTGTCACGAGTTTTCATAGCACCACATGGCATGTCAACGTTTACGTTTGTTTATATTTATATATATATTTTTTTCTCCCAAAGTATTTTATCAACAATAAGATTCAGGTACATGTGGCGCATTGCCTCGTGCAGCAATGGAGTAAAGTGTGGTTTTGTGAAGGTCCTTATGTGTTGTGCAGCACACCAATGCACGTGTGTAACACCAGCATGCGATACTCAGTTGGGCCTGTAGGTGACTGGCGGGGTTATTGAGAATAACCTGGCCTATACACCAGTCACGTGGCTAATGGCGACTCGGTTGGAAACGTCTGTGTGTGACACAACGTGCTGTTGCATTTTACAGATTACCGCAATAAATGTGTTTGCCCTCCATTTGGAGCACCTGCCGACGTCCTTCTTTTCGAGTGTGCAACATACACAACGCAGCGGTTATGTGAAGGGGGTTTGACACCAGCACACACTACGGATTGCGTTGCTATAGAGACCTGTCTAAACCGCATGTTTCAATAAACTCTCCAACCATGGTGTCTTCCTAACCTCTGATTCTCCTGTAGGAGAAGAAGAACAAAAGGAAGGGGGGGGTAGGGGAGTGTCTAAATGCCCAAATAAATTAATCAATGCCCACTGGAGGAGGGGTAGTGAAGCGGTGTCATGTGATTGTGGGAAGCTTCCTCTCTGCCCCTGAGTTTGGCACTTAGATGCTCTAGAGCAGCATTTCATGTTTACAATTTATTGGCCCATTCCTACAGTGTTGGGGGAGCATACTCCTTCTAGTTGGCTATAATGGTGCGTTTTGCCATGCCATTTAACATTTGGAATAATGAATTTGTCTCCATAGAAAGGCCTTGAGGTTTCAATCCCAACAAGTACGTTTCTGGTGAGATGCTTGTTTTGTGAATGTGGTTGAAGTAGCAAAGTGATTTTTTTTAAACGTGTTAATATCTAGACATTCCCAAAAGGCATGCCTGTATGTTTGAGGGGTGTCGGGTGGCATCGTGGGCAATTGGGGGAGGTTGTTTGGTCAAATTTGGCTCTTCTTTGGTTAGTTAAGTAATAGCCATGGATATTTTTTTATTTGGTTTCTCTGAGTGGGCTGATTGGAGATGGTGTAGCATATTAGCCCAGATTTTGTCTCTTTTGGCACTTCCTATGGGGGCACAAATTGAGAGAACACCAAGTTTTTGGTCGTGGCACAGAGGCTTGTTCGGTTCGCAGAGCGTAGCTACACTGAAAGCGTGTTTATTTGTTCGTGGTTCATGCGCCATTCGGTTGTTTGGGGGGGGCAGTAAGGTTTAGAGATAGTTCCTTATCCACTAAGGTCGCTGTGAGTTGGGCATACGTAAAATACTGGGAAGCGGGTAATTGGCATTCTGTGCATTAGTCATTTAAGGGTCGTATTTTTCCTAGTGAGTCTGCGACGTCACTCCGGTGCGACTCAATGCGTTGTGATCATTTGGGGTTGCGACTGCCTTATATAATCTTCCTTTATTATTTTATTATTTGACACTTATCCCACTTTCATCCCGATTTTGTTTATCGGCGCCACGCCATGAGGAGAAGAAGAAGCATCCATCCATTCGGATCTCTCGCAGAGCGGTGTGGTGCTTCGTGTCAAAAAAGGGCCCGCGGAAGTGGATACCGCAGAGCTTCTTCTGAGATCACTTCAAGTGATCAACTGCCTGGCCCACGCAATATAGACTTTCCCACCCATCAGCAACTTACATTTTAATTCTGGTAGCTTATGTGCAGAATCCACGCTTTTTTATCTGATTTTTTTTTGGTAAGCAATCATTGGTGGCTCGGTTGAGACAATCAAATGGCAGCGCTTGTGCGTACTCACGAGCGGATTCTGCCTCGAGTTAAACTCAGCAGTGCCAGCTCAGTGCTCTGACCTTGAAACCACCTGGTCACCTCTAACCAATTATTTACTTTTATACAAGCAATGTATTATAATGCACTGTAGCGGCCTCTAGTGGATGGAGGGAACAAGTGAATCCATTAGACATTGAAAAAAAAACATTGTCCGCTACATACTCAATTCGATGCACACTTCGTGAGCTTTAGAATCGATATTAAGAGATGGGTTTAAATATCGTTACACTTCTATGAAGTAGACACGTGCACATAAACAACTTAACATTACAGCATGATCAATGAAGCATTCTAAATCTAATATACATCCGAATGTTGGCCATCTCTTCTGTGTAAGCTCCAACTATAACCCGGAAAAAAAAAACTGTAGCTATCCTCCAACTTCAAATGTGAAGTATGGTCAAATATTGTATTCCTTAGAGCCCGCAAGCCCGTGTATCATTTGAACTAATACACAGGTATAGGTAAAAGAAAACCCGATATGTTGGGCCAGCAATAGTCGACATTCAATAACATTGAATGCATTTAGAGCCTTAAGCTAAAGGCAACATGGCATCTTTGTCAGACTTTTTTTATATATATTCTGCACAGCATAATGGAAGGGAAAGCACAATGGCATGAAATCATTCTTTGTCATCCTGTAGAGAACTGTTAAGAGTATGGTAGGAATTGCAACATACAATTGGAATTTGAAAATGTTAATACTAAGCATATGTTAGTATCATTATTTATTTCAATACGTGTATTGTATACTCCTCTATGCCCATGCTAGATTCACCTTGCACGTGCCGCCGGATCAATAAAAACTGAGAAGCTAAGCAGGCGTTGAGCCTGGATAGTGCTTGGATTGGCGATCACCTTTGCACAAAACAGGCGCTGGGAGGCTGCTGTGAGGCTACGCCAGTGGGGCAAAATCAACTGTTGTATTGTACCACGCTCCTCGCCTTTACCAACCCACTCTGATCAGCATGGCGAGGTGTTGTCATTTAACCCCCACGACTCGCGCTCGGCGTGGTGAGACGGTCAATCTATTCGGTGGATGAACAAGAGGAGCTGTTCGTTGTCATACGTGCATACTCTTCCATAAGTCATGTTGGACCACGTAGTCACAACCCTATAAAGAAGTACGCCGTGTAAGAATAAATAAAAGCCAAACTGTTGCACAGGGTTTGATGATTCCAAGGTCTTGGGTCATGTACGATATTTTTCGGCAAACTGGGTCGTCAAAATATTCGCAAAGCGCTCACTTATTATCTCCGAAATAATTTCACTTACGTATTTTGTTGTTGTTGTTGTTGCTGCTGCATAAAGCAATGTTCTAATTCGAAGATTAAATATAAACGTGACGATTTGTGAGCGTGGATGAGATTTATGATGCCTGCAAACACACGTCACAGATGTTAACATCTAACAAGAGGTTAACAATCTTTACGAACGTCATCGGGGCGGCTTGAGCTCTCTTCAGAAGCACCGCGTGATTCTGCGTGGCAACGAGGCTGTTATGTTTGTACTTTTATTGTCCTGCGAGGGAGAAATAAACAATTGTCGCGTCGACACAAACAGGAAGATGACAACGCAGCCAGTCTATTCCATGGAATTTTACTCTCGCCAGTGACCTAAATGGGGAAATTTTAAATTGGTGACTCTGTACTTTTAATTTACGACCCACGCCAAAAGGGATGCATGAACTAGTCCTCTTAGGGCGTGTGGTATGCCATAACTCCTTTAAAAATGAACATTCAGCGCATTTACACCATGCTAATTACAGCTCTGTGCAGCTGCGCTTACAAAAGACAAAGGCAAAAATCCCCCGTATAGCCCCAACACACTTTTGGGACCAGCGCCGTTAGCGAGCACCCATATTGGCACACAAGGCCCGCACCACGCCCGACCGCCTTTGTCTCTCCAAGTGGCGATGTTCACACACCGCACGAGCTACACATACGAGGCCGAGTCGACTTAGGGCCGACCCCGGACCGGTTCAGATAATCGTCACCGGTGTTGGCCGTGAGCGGGGCAATTGAACTCGGGTAGCCGGGGTTCGTAGCGCAGCGCGCTAACCGCTCCGCCACCGCTCCCCAGAGCTCTGTGCATCCTGCGCAATACATCCACACACGCGCGTGCATAATACAAACCTTAATTACGATTCTCAAACAAATTTCCAATTTACACCTCGCAAACGACGAAACAATGCGCGCGCGTGCGTGTATAAATCGATTGGATTGAGCGTCAACGCAGCAAGCTTTGGATCACATCACCTGCAACTGTTCCGGTTTTTAATTGGAAGCGCTGATTAATTCCCGTCGCTATTGTGTGCGACGGGGCTTTGTGGCACAGTGGTCGCGGTGTGTGTGTTTGTGTGTTTTGCGATCGGCAGGTCGTGAATTCAAATAGAGGCCGTTCATCCCTATGGGGGGGGGGGGGGGGGGGGGGGGGGGGGGGACGGCGGTCGACAGCGGTCGTACTGTAATGAACGTCGCCACTCACCCCCTCCCGCACCCGTCCCCGCCATGATAATATGGAGTTTTCCAATATTTGTTCAGTGGCAAAGAAAGAATGAGTGGCCTGATCAGAAACCAGCACTGCATTTAGTTTTTTTTTTTTATACCGCTATTGCCAGTTCGAGGGTTTATCATTCACGAATTCATTTCTTATCGCCTGTGGGCATGCGTAATGTGTCACATTTTCGAGAGGAGCGGATGGTGCGTTCTGCCGAGACCAACATGCGCCAATCTGCCGTGCCAACTCGCTTGGACGTTGCATCGCCCTGCCGCGTTTAGGAAACACGAGGACGCGTTGCGATTTCAGTGAACTCGCGTAGCCAGCCGCACGGCAGGCGATCACCATTGCACGAAACGGCATCGTTCACTGCTCGCTGAGCTCGTACGCCTTAGCGTAAAACGCGAACACGTCGAGGACCGGGACTTTCCTCCCGACGCACTCGTCGCGTCCCCGTCGACGGCTTTCCCCGCGGGGACTTTGCTCCCCGCCGCGCCGCCGCTCCACGACAGCCGGCGGCTGGCAACCCCCGCCGAGTCGTCTCTCCACCAGAGCCAACCAGGTTCCGTCGCCCACTCGTCGAGCCTCAACCAAGGGCCGCTCACCAGCGACGAACAGCGCCTGCCCGGACGGGCGCCTGCCTCGAGGACTATTCCGCACCCGCCGCTTCTCGTCCGAATGGCCTCGCTTCGGAGCTGTCGCGCAGCCCCGGTCAGACACGCGGCCCCTCCTTTGCGATCCGCGCGGTTCCTTCGCGTCGCTGTTCAGTCTCTTCACGAGGCCAGACAAGACTTCGGACACGCTCTCCGCGTAGCCGGCGACCAGCCTCCGGGTGTTCTCCTCGACCTTTTCCGCGTCTCTCTTTCCCCCCGTTTGCTGACGTTTGCCGTCGCCTTTTCTCGCCGCAGGTCGTTTTAAAACGTCAACGAGGGCATCGGGAACCAGAATGCTGTCGGTGACAACCGCGCACGCGGCGGTAAACGCGGGCTCGGCGGTGCTAAAAGCAGGACCAGTGGTCACCCCTGCAGCTGTCAGCGAGGGGATTCTGCCAACGACGCCTCCCTTGTGGAGAGCAGAGTTTTCCGTGGCAGGCCCTTTCGCCGGACTCTTTTGCCGCTTCCCGTTCATTCGTCCCGTCGTCTTCCGTGGCTGGCTGCGGTTGGCTTTGGTCAGCAAGGGATCGAGACCAGCGTGCTGCCGCAAGGCGTTCTCCTCCGTGCCTGCGTGCGCTGTTGCGTTATCGCTTGCAGGTGCGGGAGAAGTTGGCCTTACCGCAGCGTCGGCGTGCGCGTTGCCTTTCTCTGAAATCGCACGTTCTTCCGTGTCGGATACATTACTTTGTTGCATCTGCTGCAACGCCGCCATTGTCAACAGGCGCTTCGAAGTGTCTCCGTCTGCCGAGCTTCGCCCGTTCACTGTGGCCACGACACCACTGGCGTTGGCCAGGCGCTCCGCAACTGCCACGCTATTATATCGATGTAGCCTGCCCTTAAAAGCTTTGCAATGAACTGATCTCTCATCGCTCAGATCCTTCTCTTTGCTCTGCTCCGAGCAGTGTTTCCTCCAGAACTTTTTCCATTTCCTGCCATCACCTCCAGAAGGACCTCTGCTGGAAACCCCAGGGCTGCGTGTGGTCGAGAGAGTGCTCAGGCTGTCGCTCAGCGCTGTCGGAGCGCTGAATGAAGAATCGACATTGGGACTTTTAAACGATGTTGATGTGGACACCGGAGGCCCTGTGGTTGTCTCACTGGTGGCACTCCCTCCAGAATGTGCGGGCGTGGTGGTCTCCTGTCGTTCCACTTCCTCTGTTGGGACTTCAGTGGCATTGGAAGCTGGTGGTATTTCATCAAAAGGCCCCTGCTCTTGGATTATTGCCATCATCGTCCGCTCGTACTTGAGACATCTTCGAGGGGAAAACACAACGTGGAATGACTCACATATGCAATTAAACTTTCTAACGGTTTTTTCCCCCCCATTCAGGTTTTAATCTCACTAATTTCCATAAACAATAATTATATTTTCCTTACAGCGCTAATGCATAATCGCACACCAACCCTAATTCCACATACCTCACTCTGGTCTCGGGTTTAATTCTATTCACATTGACAGTACATTTGCCTTACGTGCCACCACGATGGTACGAACACTTGCTGTATGGCTGAGGATGCTTGTAAAGGTTGAGAAGTGTCACGTAGGAGGGGTGTTTTTAACGATGTATCCTGAGCAGTTAGCGCTACGCTGCGCTACGAACCCGGCGACCAGAGTTCGATTCCTCGATCGAGGTCAACACCCAAGTGACGATTATTTGAACCGGTCCTGGGCCTCGCCTTGGTCGACTCATTCTCAAAGAGTAGCTGGTGCAGTGAGTGAACATCGCCACTGGGGAGACAAAGGCGGCCGGGCGTGGTGCTGGCCACCCACCCCCTCGTGTGTCGTGCCGGCCTTCATAGGTGCTCGCTAACAACACTTGTCCCAATAGTCTCTTAAGGCTATACGGGGGATATTTGTCTTTCTACTGAAACAATGGTGCAGGTTTTTCAAATCCTCCCTCGCCTCCACCTCTATCCACCCAGCAGTATAAATGTGTGCACCAAAATTAAGTTAGTCAATCGGCAGGTTACTTCTGCTACATTTGCGAATGCCGCAGCTCAGCTCCATAATGTCAGATGCTTTATAAACGGTTCATTTTACGTAACTCTGCGACGGGAATCTTGATAGTTTTTAAGCACCATTCACCGTCTATCCTGATCGCAGTACAATTTTGGCGTGGGTTTAATGTTAAACACTTTTGGTTTTGCCTTAAAATCAGTCTGCACATTTCCACCCTGCAATGTCCCCGAAGCTACCCACACCGCCGCAACGTCTCGGGGCTGTGATCGCCAAAACTCCAAAGTGACAGAGCTGTTCAGCTCAAGGGGGCCTTTCCAGCTGAAAAAACGCTGCGTGTGCTAGGGGTTAAGGTGTGGGTACTCTCACCTCTCCCATGGCGTCTGGCAAGTGCTGGAAGAGTAGGCCAAACATTACCTAAACGGCCTCTGTCGATTGCCTTCCTAGTGCAGGCCCTTTCGCCAGCAGTGGCGTGAGCAAGGTGATTGCAGGGCTGCCCCTTTACCGTTTACTGTTGTTGTAACTCCACCACCGACTTACCCGGCCCACCAAGACCAATCTACGCAGGCCTCGTCCTCACGGAGGGTGAAGCAGGGAACTCCCACGATGCTGAAATACGTCCGCCCAATGTCCCATGCCGCCGTGTCATTTGACTCCTTCATGCATTGCCTGAATCTGGCAGGGAGCAAGGATAGATTAGTAAACCATAGAAAGATAAAGGCGCTGCCTTGCATACTTCACCACGTTGGTCAGTGTACGCTGATGAAGTGGTGGGGGGGGGGGGTGCCCAGGATAAGTTCGTATATCACGTGTCACTGATGTTGGCCATGGGTTGGAATTGAACTCAGATCACTGGGTTCGTAGTGAAATATCCAAACCGCTGCACTGCAGCTGTCAAAGGTTACTTGAGACTTAAAACAATGGTGGAGAGTAGCTCCAGTTAGGGGAAGCTACAAATTCCTTCTTGGGTTTTCCAGTCTCGGGTGACAATGCGTGCGGTGGATTAATTGACGACTGGAATTGAAACAGCAATGTTTGGTCGCCAAACATCCTAATGGAGCTTGCTTGCTGTTTTCCACACCTCCTAATCATTCCCTATCTCTGAATGAAAAACTGTGCGCGCTACATATTCTAAACTTCAAATCAAGATATTATAATTCATTAAGGTCCCAGAGCAGGGCACCCACCAGACCAATTCTCCTGAGGAAGGTGCGTGGGCTGGCGTGTGCCCATCTGGAAGAGACGGCGCTGACCATGAAGCCACACTGCTCCTGGCATTGCAAGTGGGTTAATTCACCTTGCACGAATCACGGGACGCCACTGGCATTAACGATACCAGATTTTAAATTCCAAGTGGCCCTGGAGGACATTGAAATTATTGTGGTGTATTTTTATGATTTTAAAGACTTTGATCATAAGATGTCCAGCTGTTCAGAATTTCACTGAACGTATGAGTGACTTAAAAAAAAGAATTTTATGTAAAAAAAAATAAGTTAAGTGACCGTGCACAGAAATGTCCAGTGGCAAAGCTGTTGAGTGTGCAGGCGGTGCAATTGCACCAGGGACCAACAGGTCAGAGGATCCAATGCCTTGGAAGTTGGAATAAAAAAGGGGGTGAATTTGAAAAAGGGGAACTCCATTTCATTCCACGCACCAGAGGCGCACGCCCGAACTAAATATTTAACTAAATATTTCATTAAAAAGGCAACATTTATCAAAATACAGAACAAGCGGTGGCTGATGACGACTCGTGTTATGTTTTCTGCAGCAGTGGCTCAAGTACTTGGTATCGCAGTCGCAGTGGGAGATGGTATGCCATCCGATGTTGTTGTAGCCGTATTTGTGCTCAAAACCGCCGATGGCGTGGGGGCAATGGTCATGCTCCCGGCAGCATATGTCGGTCTTTTTGTAGGAGCCTGTCAACCGGGGAATGGCATCAGTAAATAGGGGTCAACAGAAATATGCACACGTCCATGCCACATTTCCACCGAGTTTAAAGAGTTTATGACACGCCAGTTGAAAAATACGACTGTCACGAAAGAAATGTGTCTCTGCTAGCATGGTGCAGAAACTGTCAATTTTATTTTATATTTTTTACTGCCAGTACGCTCACTCAGTTTAAGAACCATTGCTACAGTCTACATTATAGACTGCCAATACGCTCACCAAGCTTAAAAACCAGGCTACAGTCTACATTATAGACTACCTGTACACTCACCAAGGTTAAGAACCAGGCTACAGTCTACATTATAGACTGCCTGTACACTCACCAAAGTTAAGAAGCAGGCTACAGTCTACATTATAGACTGCCAGTACACTCACCCAGCTTAATAACCATTGCTACAGTCTACATTATAGACTGCCAGTACACTCACTCCGATTAAGAACCAGGCTACATTCTACATGAGTGTTTTTTGTGTTTTTATTATTTTATTTTTTACTTTTATTCACTTTATTTTTATTTTTTTCTATCTACGTGGCTTTACCGAAAGAACCAAAGAATATGATGTCAAGTTGACCGAGGATATGACCTTGGCGGCTCCTTCAGAGCTCTCGGGTTTTAATGTGGTCAGAAAGTGAGATTGTGGGTGGAGTTTCGCCCTCTGAGAGATGGTGGGAAGGAAGGAAAGTCGGGTGAGCACCAAAAAGTGAAAGCTAAAGATGTGGAGATATCGATTAACATTGTTTTTTAGATTGTGTGTAAATATTGTATACAATGTCTCGACAAGTTTCCTTCACCCTGTGTTACAGCAACGTCCTCATCAAGTTACAGAGAGGCGTAATATTTCCTTACTTCCCAAGGCCGGTCTGGATGATTGTAATATTTCTGCATTGCAAGTTCAGTGGTGCTGTGCCACACTGCCACCACGTGGCTAAGGCGCTTAACAGAATGTGCTCAGAAAATAAAACTTGTCAGGCCAACAAGCGACCTGATCGCGGTGCACGCAAGGAAGTGGCTCAGCGGTGTCGCGTAGAGCCGTAATAATCTGGAAACGGCTCTCTGTATATTGATAGCTTATGTTTATATTCTTGGTTCCCTTCTACGTGACTTTACCGAAAGAACCAAGAATATGAATCCCTGCAGTCACGGAAGCTTTAAATCAAAGCTTATGTTTAGTTAGTTGTCCATCCCCCGCACCTCCGATTTGTGCGGTTGGCTTTGTACGGTGAGGCAAAAAAGTTCAACATGCGCGCATCCAAAAGAGATTCAGCATCATCTACCATCCAAATGGCACGATGACACGCACCTCAATAGACACCTGGAGGTGATGTTGGAGACATGATGAACATACACAGTGTAAACATATATACACTGTGTATAAACAAGTACAGTACTATACATAGACTAAACACATTTGTGCACGAGAAAAAGTATATCATAGATTACGTTTCTGGAAATGTGTTATGAAGAACGGCTATTGTCTGAAATGTTGCCTTTTTATATAACGTTTCCTGGTAAGGCAGAATCGGTATACGAGAACACCTGAAGAATAAAGATTACGTGATCGTGTTACAGTAAAAACAAGACTTATTTCATGCGAAGTACCTCCACATGGCTATACCACTCTTAAAACCGTCTCCCGAAAGCATGAGCAGCAATGATCGCAGTCAGATCCAAAAAGATGTCTTCAGCCAGACTCTCTGTGCCCTATTGTGTTTTTTGGTGTATAGGGAAAATAGTAAAAAAATATAGTTTTGTATAAATATTCTACCGTGGGGTGTGATGTCACATCGACTCATGATGCCATTGACTTTCTGCTGATGGACGCATCATATTAGTATATAATTCACATATACTGCACCATATATAGAGAATGCGAAGGAGAACCTAGGGAAATGGTTAGGAGTCAATATAACCTTGTGAGACAAAGTCCAGACAAGGAGACTGCAGTGGTTTGGACAGAGTTGGGATAAGACCGGGCGGGATTCCCCACTTAGCGTGGAAGGAAACGGGAGTTAGGGGATGACAAGAACCCCCGGGCGAATTGGTTACGGTGGTAACACATCCAGGAGATAACAGGTTGAGATAGAGCAAAAGCCGCGATAAATCGCTGAAGAATTGCATACATTCGTTGAACCAATTTCGTCGCTAATGAACATACGGAAATCACGGACGATGATGATCATGAAACATTAAAAAAAACCCATAGGCCGATTTACGATGGCATTGCTGCAATGAGTACGCACCGAGCTCATCGAATGAGTTTGCATTGGTCCCTGGCCCACACCACAAAGTGCCTGGGTAAATAAATCTCTTGGCACGGCGACGAACTTGTGGCGATGTTGGCGACTGTTGACTGAATGGCTTTTGACTGCGGGCCAGTGCCTTCCCGTGGCGGCGCAAGCGGCGACGGGGCTTCTGCCAATTCTCGGCGGGCATCGGTGCTTCGGGCACACGCGGGCGACGGGAGCTGACACCTCGTGCCTGTGGCTCATACAACGGGCACGCTCGATTGAACGCTTCCAAGTTTGCCCGCTCGGTCCTGTGGTCGTGCCGTCGGCTTGTTTCCGAAGCCGTGAATCTCTATTTTTTGGAGGGGGTGGAGGGTGGGGGAGGGCGAAAAAAATTAAGAAGAATATTTAATAACGTGGCAAATACAGCGACACTTAACGTCTTGCTCTTTAGTTCTTTCGGTAAAGTCACGTAGATAGAAAATTAATGGGTTCCTGCAAGTCGCCAAAGCTTCAAATCAAGATTGACACTTAACGTCTTTCTCGCTCCATTTAATTACAACTAGCATCATCAGGCGAAGGGCGATCTAACCCAAAAAAAACCTCTATTATGGATAATATTGGTCTCGAAAGCCTATGTGTTAAACGATTATTATTTTTATTGTTACCAGGTAAGGTCCACTGAGCTATGTAACTTTTTTTTTCAGAAGCGACCTGGCCATCAGCAAACGAAGTGTGTGGCGTGTTCATGTGGAAATGAATAGCAGCCAAATACTCGAAACGCATGTTGATTCTCAATGTGGAGAGGAAAATAACAACCGGAGGACCCAGAGAAACATCGACGCGACCACGGAGAGAGACACGCAAACTCCAAATATATACAGCAGCAGGCGTCAGGGTCGGGATCGAACCCACGACCTCCTGTATACCTAGCGAGGTAGTTAACATCTCCTAGCCAACGTGATGATGATGAGAGAGAGACACACACACTCCAAATATACAGCAGCAGGCATCAGGGTCGGGATCAAACCCACGACCTCCTGTATACCGGGCGAGGTAGTTAACATCTCATAGCCAACGTGATGATGATGAGAAAGAGAGAGAGACACGCAAACTCCAAATATACAGCAGCAGGCGTCAGGGTCGGGATCGAACCCACGACCTCCTGTATACCGGGCGAGGTAGTTAAAATCTCCCTAGCCCACCGTTGCAGGTTGTATGCTCACCTCCAATGCGCAGGCGCCGGGGCCCGTGGCGAAGGAGCCTTCGGCGTCTTCAGGAGCCTTCGGCAGGAGCTCCTGCGTCTGCACGCCCAACCCAGGGAGTACCTTCGAAGGGACGCCCACTCGAAGGCTGGCGTGTGCCCTCCGGCTGCTCATGCCAATGCTGAGGCATATGAGCAGCAGGAGGACCGCCGAAATGAACAACGTGCACATCATGGATGTTGACTTTCGTCACGGCGACGGCCGCAGAGATGTTGCTGTGAATTCTGGGCTGCGGAACATTGGCAGCCGTTTTGTGCAAGAGCCTAAAGGGGCCAGGAGCGCACTTATATCAGCGCCTGTCCAGGGCGACGATTATAATAGTCGTGAGGAGTCATTTTGCGGTCACACTCGAAACATGTGCACGCTAATTACAGTTTCTTTGGCAGGCGGGTGGGGGGGGTAGTAAATTGCAGATTTGCATGCAAATTTACACTTGTATGGAACCCGTTTGAAGCTAGCTGCCTATGATATTTGCTCTGCCACGTGTAGACGATAGCAGCAAACTATTGCAGTAATTTGATATCGTAAATCCCAAACTAAGCTGAAAACCACGTGGTTTTTTGTTTGTTACCTCCATTATCATGAACAGATGTGATCAAGCCACTGCTGGACAAAGGCCACGCCGCTTTGTCGCCATCCTTTGCGTGCTGGTAATGCCATGATCCCATCCTGTTCCTGCACTTGCGATGATTTAATCGCTCCACCGTCGTGGTGGTCAACCTCTCACAGACGTGTTCCCAATCTTGTTCATTGGCCACCATCCCTTCGGGCAAAATGTCCTACCCTAAATTTTGACTTAAAACTTTCGTGACTGCGGGAATTCATATTCTTGGTTCTTTCGGTAAAGTCACGTAGATTTTTTTTTTACAAATTGCTTTTATTTTGTATTTACTTTACATTTTTTTCTATCTACGTGACTTTACCGAAAGAACCAAGAATATGTCCTACCCTAGCCCAATTACTTTTCCGCACATTCAACATGATGTCTCCAATTCGCATTTGTTCTCTGATAGAGTTACGTGTGTTACTTTCTGTCTCGGTGTAATTTCCAGCGTGTGTCTCGGCAGGCCTCTTCGAGAGGTAGGAAAGTTTGTGTGGAGGGGAGTAGAGTGAGAGGAGAGTGTGGATGGGAGTAGAGTGAGAGGAGAGTGTGGAGGGGTGTAGAGTGGGAGGAGAGTGTGGAGGGGAGTAGAGTGAGAGGAGAGTGTGGAGGGGAGTAGAGTGAGAGGAGAGTGTGGAGGGGAGTAGAGTGAGAGGAGAGTGTGGAGGGGCGTAGAGTGTGGAGGAGAGTGTGGAGGAGAGTAGAGTGAGAGGAGAGTGTGGATGGGCGTAGAGTGAGAGGAGAGTGTAGAGGGGAGTAGAGTGACAGGAGAGTGTGGAGGGGAGTAGAGTGAGAGGAGAGTGTGGAGGGGAGTAGAGTGAGAGGAGAGTGTGGAGGGGAGTAGAGTGAAAGGAGAGTGTGGAGGGGAGTAGAGTGAGAGGAGAGTGTGGAGGGGAGTAGAGTGAGAGGAGAGTGTGGAGGGGAGTAGAGTGAGAGGAGAGTGTGGAGGGGAGTAGAGTGAGAGGAGAGTGTGGAGGGGAGTAGAGTGAGAGGAGAGTGTGGAGGGGAGTAGAGTGAGAGGAGAGTGTGGAGGGGAGTAGAGTGAGAGGAGAGTGTGGAGGAGAGTAGAGTGAGAGGAGAGTGTGGATGGGAGTAGAGTGAGAGGAGAGTGTGGAGGGGTGTAGAGTGAGAGGAGAGTGTGGAGGGGAGTAGAGTGAGAGGAGAGTGTGGAGGAGAGTAGAGTGAGAGGAGAGTATGGAGGGGAGTAGAGTGAGAGGAGAGTGTGGAGGGGAGTAGCGTGAGAGGAGAGTGTGGAGTAGAGTGAGAGGAGAGTGTGGATGGGAGTAGAGTGAGAGGAGAGTGTGGAGGGGAGTAGAGTGAGAGGAGAGTGTGGATGGGAGTAGAGTGAGAGGAGAGTGTGGAGGGGTGTAGAGTGAGAGGAGAGTGTGGAGGGGAGTAGAGTGAGAGGAGAGTGTGGAGGGGAGTAGAGTGAGAGGAGAGTATGGAGGGGAGTAGAGTGAGAGGAGAGTGTGGAGGGGAGTAGCGTGAGAGGAGAGTGTGGAGTAGAGTGAGAGGAGAGTGTGGATGGGAGTAGAGTGAGAGGAGAGTGTGGAGGGGAGTAGCGTGAGAGGAGAGTGTGGAGTAGAGTGAGAGGCGAGTGTGGATGGGCGTAGAGTGAGATCATAGAAAAATGGGAGGTAGGGGCGGTCCCCCGAAGGATTTTGAAGATGGTGATTGAGGTTGTCCAAACTTTAGATTACGTAACATAGCTACGATTTCGATTTAAAGCTTTCGTGACTGCAAGGATTCATCTTCTTTGGTTCTTTCGGTAAAGTCACGTTGTGTTGTGGCCGAAACGTCGTGAGAATATTATTGTGTTATTTTATTTTATCAATTTATTATTTTATTCTCATTCTACGTGACTTTACCGAAAGAACCAAAGAAGAAAGCTACGATTATGTAATGCATCGTGTGTGGTTCAATGTCTTCTACATGTATGTGTGTATGACATGTTTTGCATTTGACCACTGCTCATAGTGTAAATAAATAAACATTCATTGGCCAGTAGCTAGCCCATTTCCTAATAGTTTATCATCTTAAAATTGCAATAAATTAATTCTAGATTTAAAGCTTTCGTGACTGCAAGGATTCATACTCTTTGGTTCTATTCGGTAAAGTCACGTAGGTAAAAAATAAAACAACAAAAATCACGACGTTTCGGCCACAACACAAGCGGCCTTCATCAGGTGAAGGGACGAGACTGTCTGGTAGGACAGCGCTGGAGTGAAAAAGGCACGCTCAGATCGCGACCTTTAAGCTGTGTGAGAAGAAACAAAGCGCCTTGACAAAGGAATTAGCATTGAATTTAGCATTGAAATGGCTGAGTGATTAGCTTGTGACTGGTCACAGAAATGGCTATGTTAAAGCATACACATCCGCAGAGGTACCCCTTGCCAAAGGAATTAGCATAGAATTTAGCATTGAAATAGCTAAGTTAAAGTATACACATCCGCAGAGGCACCCCTTGATAAAGGAATTAGCATAGAATTTAGCATTGAAATAGCTGAGTGATTAGCTTGTAACTGGTCACAGAAATAGCTATGTTAAAGTCAGAGCATACAAATTCACAGAGGCACCTAGTACAAATCAAACAGGAGAATTTAGCATTGAAATAACTAGGCGAATTTAGCATTGAAATAACTGAGTGATTAGCTTGTGACTGGTCACAGAAATGGCTATGTTGAAGTCAAGGCCTACACATCTGAGCTATTCACAGTAACTGGCTATACACTACAATATATAATGAATACTATATAGTTTACCAATAAAAAACAATAAAAAACTAAAATATAAATTACCTCAATGTTATCAATAAACTCTATATATTCTCCAATCAGCTAAGCTACCAACAATAAGTCGTTATATATCACAATGCTATATGGCGAAAAAATGGGTGGATTCTTACCCTCAACTTTAACAACACGGATAGCTACGGGCCCCGTTCAGACGGACGAGTTCATCCATGGTCGGAACAGAGGAGGGGGAGAGAGACAGCTGCGAGGCACTGTTATACTCCATGTTGTAAACCATACCATTAACCGTGGTGTGAGAGGTATTAAGAGTCAATGCCAGCGAAAGAGATGCGGTCTGAAGGTCATCGTAAAATACAATTAATTAAGAACGGAAATGGTTTAAAACATCTTTCCAATGGTTACTAAGCCAGAATCCATCTTCTCGGTTGAAATTGTCTCTGTGCTTGTATATGTGAATGGCCTCATGAAGGAATCTCTCATGGTAGCCGGTTGGTTTGCAAAGAACCTCCGTCTTGGAGAAGTCAATGTCATGTGAGCCCACTGAATGATAACAGTGATCTGCCATGGCAGAGGAGTTCGTTCTACCGTGTTTCAAGTCTGCTCCACGTTCGCGGACGCGGTCCGAGACACGTCGCCTGGCCTCTCCAATGTAGCCACCACCACAGAGGCACTCCAGCTCGCAAACGCCCGGGCACTGCACGTCCGGAACAGCATCCTCCACAGACGGAACCAGATCACGGATTCCATGCACTGTGTTGAATCGGACCTGGATCCCGTGTTTATTCAGGACCTTAGAGATCCTCCCCAGTGACCCCTGCAATGCAGGGCAAGGCGATGGCCTTGAGTGGCTCCACAAGAGGACCCCTCCCCATGACTGGAGCGATGGCACCTTTGTCATCTGGCTGCATGGCCGGCCTGCTCTGGACCAATTCCGCAGCCACGTCGATTCCATACACCCAGCCGTCGGATTTGCCATGGAGGTCGAAAGGGATGGCGGGCTGCCCTTTTTGGATGTCTTGATTGGAGGGGGACATGGTGGTTCAGTGAGCCACTCTGTCTGCAGGAAGGCTGCCCATGCAGATGCTTGCTTGAGGCCGGGTTCCCACCACCATCCGTCCCAGAGGAATTCCCTCATTGGGACTCTATACCATGGAGCCCGGTGCATTTCCGGCCAGGAACACATTGCCAGTGAGCTCAAGCGAGTACGCCGGGCTCTCGGGGCTGGTGGTTGCTCCGACTGCGCAGTCCGCGGGGCCATCGCTCCAGTCATGGGGAGGGGTCCTCTTTGGAGCCACTCAAGGCCATCGCCTTGCCCTGCATTGCAGGGGTCACTGGGGGGGATCTCTAAGGTCCTGAATAAACACGGGATCCAGGTCCGATTCAACACAGTGCATGGAATCCGTGATCTGGTTCCGTCTGTGGAGGATGCTGTTCCGGACGTGCAGTGCCCGGGCGTTTGCGAGCTGGAGTGCCTCTGTGGTGGTGGCTACATTGGAGAGGCCAGGCGACGTGTCTCCGACCGCGTCCGCGAACGTGGAGCAGACTTGAAACACGGTAGAACGAACTCCTCTGCCGTGGCAGATCACTGTTATAATTCAGTGGGCTCACATGACATTGACTTCTCCAAGACGGAGGTTCTTTGCAAACCAACCGGCTACCATGAGAGATTCCTTCATGAGGCCATTCATATATACAAGCACAGAGACAATTTCAACCGAGAAGATGGATTCTGGCTTAGTAACCATTGGAAAGATGTTTTAAACCATTTCCGTTCTTAATTAATTGTATTTTACGATGACCTTCAGACCACATCTCTTTCGCTGGCATTGACTCTTAATACCTCTCACACCACGGTTAATGGTATGGTTTACAACATGGAGTATAACAGCGCCTCGCAGCTGTCTCTCTCCCCCTCCTCTGTTCCGACCATGGATGAACTCGTCCGTCTGAACGGGGCCCGTAGCTATCCGTGTTGTTAAAGTTGAGGGTAAGAATCCACCCATTTTTTCGCCATATAGCATTGTGATATATAACGACTTATTGTTGGTAGCTTAGCTGATTGGAGAATATATAGAGTTTATTGATAACATTGAGGTAATTTATATTTTAGATTTTTATTGTTTTTTATTGGTTAACTATATAGTATTCATTATATATTGTAGTGTATACCCAGTTACTGTGAATAGCTCAGATGTGTAGGCCTTGACTTCAACATAGCCATTTCTGTGACCAGTCACAAGCTAATCACTCAGTTATTTCAATGCTAAATTCGCCTAGTTATTTCAATGCTAAAATCTCCTGTTTGATTTGTACTAGGTGCCTCTGTGAATTTGTATGCTCTGACTTTAACATAGCTATTTCTGTGACCAGTTACAAGCTAATCACTCAGCTATTTCAATGCTAAATTCTATGCTAATTCCTTTGTCAAGGGGTGCCTCTGCGGATGTGTATGCTTTAACT